CTAAGATTTTATAAGGCTCAGCTTGTCCACCTATCTTGCAGCAATAGCTCTATCATAACTGAGAACGGGCGTCAAGTTAACCTAACCCAGTTACTCGCCTGCTACGAGCTTTCCGATTGGAGGATTAAAACGGAAGTTCACGCTCCAACTTGGGATCTGAATATAGTGCTCCAACACCTCACAAGTGAGGTTTATGAACACGCTTTGATGATATACTTGAACCCCATGATACGATGAATCTATCACGATGGCCAGTAACAGCACTGAAAATATATCTCCACCGAGCCAAACAGGAGGGAAAAATGCAAGAGATTTATTTCCTCTATCAAGCTACGCAGACGAAAGTCTCACGTACTACTATATCTCCTTTTGGATCAGAACTGTCATACTACGTGCCTACAAGACTGTAGGACTCTACCCTCCATGAGCTTCTAATCCTCATAATATTAGAGCGCTAACATCTACAATTGCTCTACACAAATGCTTTTGGAATAATGGAGGGTTATTTCTGGAGATCCGATATGGTGTTTGCCAACCACTATCTGAGAGATATCACCACCGAGGACATCTCAGGTATCCACCTATTCGGTCCCATGGTCCTCGCACAACAGTTGACAGTTCCTCGGAGAAGATAAGCCCATCTTACAGAATTTTACTTATCTTATAACAGTACTAAATAGCTACATGCTATATATATTTTGCTTAAGTTCAATTTATTATCTTAAGCTCAGTACTATGGTTATTATATCATACAATATGTAAGCTAACAACTCTAATGGAGTTTGTTATTATATATTTAGCTTAAGTTAATCATATCTTAAGCTCAGTACTATGGTTACATTATAAATATATTAGCTAACAAACTCTACGGAGTTTTTGCTATTATATATGTAGCTTAAGTTTATTCATATCTTAAGCTCATTACTATGTTTATATCATATAAGTATATTAGCTAACAAACTCTAAAGAGTTTTTGCTATCATATACTTAGCTTCAGTTTCATCATATCTTAAGCATTATGGTTACATTATAACATGTATTAGCTAACAAACTCTCTACGGAGTTTTGCTATTATATATGTAGCTTAAGTTTATTCATATCTTAAAGCTCAGTACTGTGTTTATATCATATAAGTATATTAGCTAACAAACTCTAAAGAGTTTTTACTATCATATACTTAGCTTAAGTTTCATCATATTTTAAGCATTATGGTTACATTATAAAATGTAATAGCTAACAAACTCTGACGGAGTTGTTTTGGCTATTTAGGTTGCTTAAGTTAATTATATCTTAAGCACAGTTCTATAATCATACTATATATATGCCTACAACTCTTAGGAGTTCTACTATTATATATATGTTCAGCTTAAGTTTCAATCCTTAAGCTCAGTCATATGTTCATTTCATAACATGTATTAGTTAACAAACTCTCAGTAGTTGGTTACTATTATACAGCTTAAAGTATCATTATACCTTAAGCACAATTCTGTTATAACTTACATATATGCATATTGTAAGCTTACTACTTTGGTTCTTATAAAAGTATTCATTATAAACTATCAACTGTTTATACTATCACATTAATAGCTTTAGCTTAATTAATGTTCTATATACTTTTATTATATTCAGTAAATTGTAATAACCCTTATATGGCAACTGATAAGTTAACAGCAGGAATTCAGTTCAGTGCCTTCATGAAGTTCCCTTAGGGTTATTACAATTATCTCAGTTCAAATCACTAATTAGTAAAATCCAAAGTATATATAATCCCACCTCCTATTCCGTAGGATTCTACAAGCAAATAAACATGAGTCAGGATAAGAAAAAATATGAAATTTTTTAAAGTAAAATTAATATTTTTATACTTATCCTGACTCATGAGGTAAGCCCTCCCGTCCTCCCCACTTAACACTTTGGATTTCCCTGGAAATTCAGGTGTTGGGCTCAGTATATGAGGAGAGAGTGAGGCACATGGGTTCAGGTGGCGCCCTCGTTCCCGCGCTTGTGGAAGGGAGGTAACTCGTGGTCAGTACTAATGAGTGATTTTTTATTGAAGGGAACTTCAATTGGGAGATACAAGTGTTCCACTAGGTTCGCCAGAAGAAGAAGACAAGCAAATAAACATGAGTCAGGATAAGTATAAAAATATTAATTTTACTTTAAAAATTTCATTTTTGTGCACAGAATTGTATGTGCAAACACAGGGAGAGAGGGAGGGAGTATGGTTTTACGCCGCTTTTAGCAATATTCCACCGATATCACGGCGGGGGACACCAGAAATGCGCTTCACGCATTGTACCCTAACATGGGTCTTCAGCGTGGCAAGCGAAGGCTTTAACCATTAAGCTACCCCACCGCTCTTGTGCAAACACAGATGTGAAATGAATCATATATAGGATACACAAGTGAAAATGGGTTCTTTTGGAATTTAAGAATTAGAATAAAATACCACTTTAAAATACACTTGTCCACCTTGCGCCTTGTCCATTATTATTTCCAGTTGCATAATCAACATTTAATAAGATGTTGATACCATGATGGAGAACTCCCTGTTGTGATTCCTGGTTGCACAGGGACATTTCAGATCTTCCATGTGATAAGCTTCACAGAGTGGAGAGGTGTACAGGTGAGCAGCTTCATGATGAAACCCGTGTCGACATTCAAATTTTGGACTAGTGAATTATGTTGTGGGCTAGTAACTTTCAGGCATAGCTAGCCCGACTGGTTAGCAAAATTTGGAAACTATTTTGCGCACTGGCCATCAGCCTTGCACCTTGTATCATATCTTCATCTGCCATCTTAAAAGATCAAGCACATGCAGATAAGCTTTGAATTCCATTACCTCCGAGTTGCGCCTTGTCCCTGTAGATAACACAAGGCAACACTTTCCTTGCTATTTATATATATGTTGTCTTTTATCTGAAAGGAATCATCACCAGTGTATATATGGAAACATGTTATCTGTGTAAGCGATAACATTTATACTTCTGGATTTAAGTTGATTTGATTGTATGCGTGCAGTGTTTCACCCATTTCTCCATGAAGACATTCCAGTGCTGTTGATGATGACATTGTCTTTTATGAGATTTGTTCATTTGTTATTAATGATTGAAATAAAGAAAAGAGATATGTATTTATCTTCTTGGCAGATCAGAGTCATTTATATGAGAATAAATGAATATTTGTTTCGAACTCTGAACAGGCAAACTGGAAATGAAACATATTTCTTTGTTTAAATGTTGATGTTTTGTTTACTAGTATTGTTGTCTGACTTTGTATTGTCCAATGTAAAACAATGTGAAACAATCTCACCTCTCTGTCAACACAGATTCAGAGGTGGTTCATGGGATTACAAATAAGTTCAGAGGAAGGTTTTACATGTGTCTTTCAAATGTTTCTTAAAGTGAATCATTTGATTTTAAATTTATATTGATATTGTTTAAAGAAAAGTGCACAAACTCCTTGACACGATCTGTTGATTTAACCATGTCTGGTCATGTCTATGTCCATGTTAAGAGAAGCTCCTCTGCTAGTTACACTATGGCTCAATAGCTGATGTAAGGGATGCAGGAAGTGAGTGTAAAGAAGAGAGCACCTGCTTGGAATGTGGGACTGAGATTTAGATAGAAATGTTGTTAAAATGTTGCATGGGTAGACCTGGACAGGACAGGCAGTTCCATGATGTCTTGTCTATGTTGGTTAAATGTTTCTGTTCCAATGATAAACGTGGAACCCCAGTCGACCTTCTCGTCTCCTTCCCAGGTATTCATGTTAAGGTCTATTTGGGATATGATATTCATAGTACATCTACACGTTTTGTTCAGGATGAGCGACTTCCTGTTACTGTGGTTGGTGTTACAACTGCAGCTGTCTAGACCTGGCTGTTCGATGTACTGTATGTGTCATGTACAGGAAATATGTTTGCATGTGTTGTGTGGATGCTATACCTACAGGCTGATGATTATTGTGGGGAAATTCTCCACAACAAACTCTATGAGGTAGTCATATATTTTGATAATGATGGGCCATGAAACTACCTACCAATTTCCAAATAAATATGTTTGTAACGAGCACATTGTGTCAAAGTTTTCAAAGTTACTTTTGAATTGAATGCCATGCTGTACTTCAGAGACATCTGCAGCTTCCTCTTCAGAACAAGCGCTGACACTCAGCCTATTCCAGTCATATGACAGTGGTCTGTCAATAAACAAGTCAAGGTCAAACAAACCAGTGACTGACATTATGAGCATATTATCTGTTGGGATACAATGACATGCAGCAAGCAAGTTATGGAGTCTGACCAGCAGATCCCGATTTGTAACCTCTTACTACAGTCACCTCTTACAACAAGCATGGGTTGCTGAAGACCAGTTCTAACCCAAATCTTCACGGGTTGAGTTGGTTATGTGAATGGACAGTGAGGGATGACTGTATATAGATCAATGATAGATTAGCTGCAGGAGGAAACGTTGGACAGATTGTGGATGTTTGAGTCAAACCCAGGAGGGATGTAATTATGGATTTAAACCCACCCACCACCAGAACATTTGTGCAGTTATTAAGCATATGCTTTTATGTTCAGACAAAGTTGTTTGCTCATCTGGAAAAACACATGCCTATTGCATGACCGTGGGATCTGACATGTTGCATTTGTTGTTTGATGACAGTGGACAGTATCCGAAGTCTTAGAATAACAGACCCTAGCCCAAACAAAAAGGGCTGACTGGGCACGATGACATGGTCAAGTCACAGTCTGACCACTCCAGCCAGCTCTCTTGAGATAGTGGGAGCCTATTCTAACCCAGCATCCCTGCAGAGCGCCGGTACATGTGTCTTCAGCTGATCAAACAGGTTTTGGAATCCCAAAAACATACATGTTTTACTCTTGAAGAAATGTTTACAATTCAGTCTGGCCGGACTGAATCACTTGTCACTTACCAAAACTTCACACAACTGAATCTTCACTGGTGAGAATAGGAAAAAATACCTAACAACGATAATACCATTGGGGGCAATTTAATTTTCTATAAATCAATGAAGCAAACATAAATATTTAGTATGTAAAACATTAGTATAAAATCCATTCAACTGAACAACACATGTAAGTGAGCTATGACAGTGACAGAGACTACAGTCTCTTCAATGCCACTGTTCCAGCCATTAATAAACTATCAACAATATAACAAAGTACAGTATATACATGGTCTATAAGCAATTGTTGAACATAAAAATCCATTAAACAGTCATTAAAATTTTGAATGAAATTCTCATCTTCGACCAAACCAATTTCTCTAAAACTTATGCAAATAAACCATTTACTTAAGGAAGGAAACAAATTTCAGTACAAAATAATTTTGTCACAAATCTTGTTCATAATTTAAGTAGGTTCCATAAAAATATTTAGGCCAGATTCATTTACAAAATAAAAAAAATGGTTTGTGAAGTCAAATGAAATTCATTAAAAAACCCAAATTAGAATATAATTATTTTACAACAGGCATCAAAATGCCATATAACAATTGTATTTCCAAATAAACAATTGCTGCAATGGTGTTTTGATTACAAAGCTTTCACTATATACCACAATGGAGCAGCAGTGATCTCGGACACACAAGTTGAAATGCATGAACATTATTGCAGAGATCATAGAACAAATGTACATCATGATATGAAGCTACACTCAAGGTAAGACTATTTGCCAGTACGAATGGTGGATATTTACAAAGTAAATTCAAAAGTTATAAGCATTTACAAATGTCCACACAAATACTGTCTGTCCAGCAGAGTGAGTGTGGGAGTGCTTTTAATAATGTTTCTAAATGCAAGTAGCTATATTACGAAGTGCGAGGGAAGGCTGAATTGATGCAGATCCCACCATTCTGTCGTGAAACCCATGTGTGTGGGTATGTTGCTGACCAACCCAGAAGCACCAGGGCAAGCTGGGGTTTCAACCAATGGTCATTGGTTCCTGTCATGTCCAAGGGATATTGAATATCAGGAAAACCAAGGCAATTAACTTTGCACTTGGGTTATTATTATAATGAATTTTGAGTTTTAATTAAAGTTTCAAAATGTTTTAAGTCATATCACAACATATCAATTTCTTGAGTGAGGAAAGCCCTAATCAACAAATGTTGTAATGAGATAATTCTTGGCCTTGACCTTGAGGTTCAAGTTACTGGCACATCTGAATATGTGTGAAATTGTTCCATCAGTTCAAACCTACATGTGTGTGCAAATGAACACCTGGGCACAAGCAACCTCTATTGTAAGATGTGATTCATGGATATGAATACCTGTGATACACTTCTGTAAACCCCAAAACACAGGCATGGTGCTTCAAGACCACGGATCTTAATCAACACAAATCTAGGATGTGAACCCTTTCAGTATGACAATTCTGATAACTTATGACAGGTGGACCTAAAGCATAAATTAAAGCACTGAGAACACTCCGAATCCAAGCATGATTTGATGGAGGTAAAACTGATCCAGCTCCTGAGTCACAAGTTGACAATTACTGCAGACTATTTCACAAGGCATATAAATAAATATTTCTTAATACCATGAAAATAGTAATACTCTGTTTTTGTGGTCTTTCAGCAATTGATTGCCTTCTGAAAAATACTGAATTGAAAATAATGACCAGTAGATATTCGTAACGATAAATATATGAAAACCGAATCTTGAGATGTTCAAGTAGCAACATAATGTTGCATCCTCCATCTGCGAGATGGACACACACACTACTGATTCTACAACCTGAGTCTGGTGTGAAATCAAAGTATACCGTATCAAACGTGAACTAAATCATGCACAGCATGATCAATTTCCTAACTCCTCTGCTTATTTTTCATACTCTGAAGCTATACCCTACCCTACATTACATGAAAACCAGCTTAGAAAAATATTTAAACATCCTGAAAATAATAAAAGTACAAAACGATCATGTTTTGATGATGCATCAGCATCCAAGTAGACCATGTCAAAGGCACACGGGAGTTGTCAGTAAAACTTGTAAAACAGCCTGCATAAAGTGAGAATGGTATATAAATAATCAAAATGGTCAAATGACATCATACACTTCTGTAAAATACATCACCAGTTGTACAAAGGGCACAAGAGTTGCATATGTATGAAAAGACAATCTCCACAAAAGTTACTGATGTACATAAAACAATAACGTGATGCAAATATATGGAATGAGAAATGAAATTATTCACTTCTAGTATCCAATTCTCAAATAATCTATTAAGCCCAATCAGTTGCAGGCCACACCCACTGTAATTTCAATGTGCCAATCAGTTGCTGCTGCAGAGATTTATTTATATACAGAAACATTATTTCACTTTCATGCATTTATACTTCATACCCTTGAATATTGTTACCAAGTAAACAGTGGTTAGGCGGTAGGTAGCAATACGATTTTATACAAAGTCTTAAAAACTGAAAGGAAGCACTCGCTTGGTCCAAAGTTACATCACTTACTGTATTGAGTTTCTCCTTTAGAAGGTTTCATCATGACAAACATTGTTACAGACTTATACACAAGAGTAAAAGGCTACTTACAAATATTCATGAACTTTATTAAGTTTAGGCTAACAGATCCTAAATCTAAAATCACATAAACTAAAAAATCATGGTAACTTTTCAACATTTTAAGGCAAGACAATTTTTGAAAGGTTCAAGACTGGCAAGTAGAGACAGAGACATTAGATTCTATCCTACTTTGAAATCCTACTAGTCCATCAGTATTTTGACTAGTCCACTAGTGAGATGGCAGCCTCCACAGGAATGATTCTCTAGTCCTGTAGCAGGATAATGGTACAAAAAGGCACATTGTTTTCAATGTATCTTGATTTGTGATGCAAAACAAATAGAAACTCCTACATGTTAGCCATCAGTTGACAGCACAGATGTAGCTGAGGGTCAAATACAACAATGTGGAATGTGAATCAATTTAAAGAAGTGGACAGCACTTCAAAACACTTAAAGGAAGAAAGGTCGTATTTGTACAAAGACAGTTTTACAAGTTTACAATTTGATTAGCTAAAACATCCATTGCATGACAACACTGCTTCACAGAAATATGTTCCTCTAGATAGTGTGTATTGGTTGTCTGAGCCATGTAGTGCTGCCTTAGACGAAGCAGTGTGGTTTGGTAATACAGTTGACAATGTTTCTATGTACAGGTAACAGTGTTAACTTTGATTTCAGCATCACAGGAAATATAAACATACTTTCCTCACAACTTGCCAACAATATAAGTTTATCATATTCCCCAACAAATAGCTTTCCGGAAACTAGCGTAAATTAAATTGGAACATAAAGTTCCTATTCGTATTTTTTGTAGAACAATAACTGATCTTATTTCGTATGTTGTCTTTACAAACCTGCTAAAAAAATTAAATAAAAAACCCCAACACATTTCAAGTATAACAACAGAAATCTTGTATGATAATTACTTCTGAATTAAAGTTGTAAAAAATACCTTATTTCCAATGTTGCTTTCACTCCCTGCTACAGTCTAAGGGAGGTAACTTACATATCTGAAACCTGGATGACCGAGAGAAAAAATACAATGTACCCTGGGCTCTCAGTAAAAAGGCCACCAGACGGAAAACATTTCACTCCAATCTCACTATTTGTTTGACCATGATTTGCCTGTTTGAGAACCAACTACGTCCAACCTAGAAACTAACACATACTATATTATGCACGATCAACAGTCGACACTGGTGGCAGTTGCCCGACATTCACACATTGATTTATCTGATCACAAAATGCTTTATTATCTAAAATCTCTTTCACATTGAGCAAATAAAAATAGATTTTACAATCAGCTTCAACTTCAAAGCAGACTATATGTAGAATTTCTCTTGATGGTGACGCCCATGTTTTTACAGAAATCAGCTGTGAAAGGAATACAGTTGAAGTACTGGCACCCGGGACAATTTGTGAGTGGGACAACATAAAATAAGATGACAAGAAGCACGAAGATTCCAACAGACAAGCATAGTGTGATCACAATAGTGATGATCTTCCGCCGCCGGTCCAGTTTACCGAAAGCCACATACGGCAGTAATGCAAACGCCAGGAGGAAACCGAAGAAGAATCCGAATAAATGAGCCCAGTTATCGAACCACGGTAAAAGTCCCAGGAGGAAAAGTATGATGATGGGAACCACAAGTTTGAGCACCGCAATAGCTGGTTTCTTGTACCTCGGCCAACTCTGTAGCACCTCCACCAGCAGGCAGGCCAGGATACCGAACTGGGAGCCAGACGGACCAGCCTGGAACATACACAGTATTGTCATGATGGGACCAGCATAGAAACTTCATCTAACACTTCCACAATCAGGATCAACTTTTATGTTTAATAGTTAAGGATTTTGTCAAACATAAATGTTAGTCAATGTAAAATAACTAAAAACACATTTATTTTGGTCAATAGTTTGGAGAGTAGGGTGGCTGTTGGTTGGGTAGGTGAGTGAGTGAGTAGTCTTGCACCTCTTTCAGCAACAGTCCAACATCATGGTGGGAAGCACAAGAACCTGACTTAACATATTGTACACGTGTGGTAAGGGAACCTGGGCCTTTGGTGTGACAAGTGAACACTTTAACCCCTGGTCAGTATGGAAGGAAACACTGTTTGTAATACTGCTTAAAGGCACAATTTCACACATCTTTGACAATATTTAGGCCTATATTATATATATTGGGGCATATGCACTCACTTTAGCTTTCTATTGATGCAATAAAAGACTTATTATCCCTTACGACTTGCCTGAAATCGATAATTAAAACTTCGAACAGCTTCCAAACAGAGAACACTTATATGGAATATGCCATATATGGAATGCAAACAATTGCTCCGTACATCAAAAACTATCGCACGCAGTGTTGTCTGTGTTTGCTGAACTGGTTTCAATCACAAGTTGCGTGTATTTTTTTGCATCATTTTGTCTGGGACTGAGTTCTGTCTCCAAAGGGGTTATAGGATATTCGTAAAGAGCGCTCCAAGGGACATAACTCTAAGGGGTTTGCTTGAAATAATTTTCGGCCTGTAGAGGGTACGGGAGTCAATTTAATGCAACGTTGCATAAATTCATTTGAACTTGTTAATTTAATAAGGTAATCTAAACACATATTTTAGGGGGGAATATATTATATGGTAGCTTCCCTCACGGCTGATAGTTGACTGAGAGAAATGCATTATTTATTTTTTTAGAGAAGTGTGGTGTGAAATAGTGCCTTTAAGATATAAGGGTGAACATTTTACAGGAAATGTAATGCAACGTACATATTCACAATTTTTATTTCTGAAAGTCTTGCTCTGCTTTTATACAGGCTGAATGCAATGCATTTCATTCATCATAAGTTTAAAAGTAACCAGTGTTAGATGATTGTTGCAGTGTGCTGTCTGTTAATAGCTACCAAAGTTGGGGCAGTGACAAATATACATGTATTTGATCCAGCCATTTGGAAGTGATGATGGAGTATGCATATACACCAAAACATTGTCTTCTTTACGAGAAGAAATTGACAGCCATACATTTTCTCACTTAAATTTGATATATTTCTATTTTATTCTGACTGTAATTCTTGGCTTACTTTAGGTGAATTAAATTAAGTTCAACTTTGAAATTACTCACTGGTTTGCCTATTACACATTACCAGAGCCACAAAATACCATCATCACTAAAAAGGTAAGCTATGGAAATCCTGTGTTAAGCATTATGAATGTTCCATACATCTGAGACAGGGACTGATCACACTGAACTCCCGATCAGAAATGCCTACAATTATCCTAGACTGCATGTTTCTGGGAACCATGTTCCTAGAAGTTCACATGACGGTAAATGAGGCTGGAACAAGTGAGATGTAGAAATTGATCTTACCTCTACAACATACGGCAGAAAGACACTGCTAGCCAGGTTGCCACAGATGCCAGTGCCAAGGTAGATGATAGCCATGCGAATAGCACCGGTCAGCTTCTCGATGTCTCTCATGACCAGTACCTGGAACCCCACTGTGATGACCAGGTGAATCAACCTGGAGAGAACAGGTGAATAGTACATATTACAGGTAGATCTACCTAGAGGGAAGAGGTGAATAGTCAGTATATATATTACAGGTAGATCTACATCGAGGAAAGAGGTGAATAGTCTGTAAACATTACAGGTAGATCTACCTAGAGGGAAGAGGTGAATAGTCTGTAAAAATTACAGGTAGATCTACCTAGAGGGAAGAGGTGAATAGTCAATATATCTTACAGGTAGATCTACCTAGAGGGAAGAGGTGAATAGTCTGTATATATTACAGGTAGATCTACCAAGAGGCAAGAGGTGAATAGTCAGTATATATATTACAGGAAGATCTACCTTGAGGGAAGAGGTGAATAGTCAGTGTATATCACAGGTAGATCTACCTTGAGAGAAGAGGTGAATAGTCTGTATATATTACAGGTAGATCTACCTTGAGGGAAGAGGTGAATAGTCTGTATATATTACAGGTAGATCTACCAAGAGGTGAATAGTCAGTATATATATTACAGGTAGATCTACCAAGAGGCAAGAGGTGAATAGTCAGTATATATATCACAGGTAGATCTACCTTGAGGGAAGAGGTGAATAGTCAGTATATATATTACAGGTAGATCTACCTTGAGGGAAGAGGTGAATAGTCAGTATATATATTACAGGTAGATCTACCTTGAGGGAAGAGGTGAATAGTCAGTATATATATACAGGTAGATCTACCTTGAGGGAAGAGGTGAATAGTCTGTATATATTACAGGTAGATCTACCTTAGAGGGAAGAGGTGAATAGTCTGTATATATTACAGGTAGATCTACCTAGAGGGAAGGTGAATAGTCATAGTATATATATTACAGGTAGATCTACCAAGAGGGAAGGGTGAATAGTCATATATTACAGAATAATAGTCTGTAAATATTACAGGTAAGACATTGGGGAACAGGTGAATAGTCTGTATATATTACAGGTAGATCTACCAAGTCTGTACCTACCTAGAGGGAAAAGAATAGTCTGTAAACATGAGGTAGATCTACATTGTGAATAGTCTGTATTACAGGTAGATCTACATAGAACAGGAAGATATATTACAGGTGAATAGTCTGTATATATTACAGGTAGATCTATATAGAGGAACAGGTGAATAGTCTGTATATATTACAGGTAAGAGGTGAATAGTCTGTAGTCTGTATATATATAATAGTCAGGTAGATCTACCTAGAGGGAAGAGGTGAATAGTCTGTATATATTACAGGTAGATCTACCTAGAGGGAAGAGGTGAATAGTCTGTATATATTACAGGTAGATCTACCTAGAGGGAAGAGGTGAATAGTCTGTATATATTACAGGTAGATCTACCTAGAGGGAAGAGGTGAATAGTCTGTATATATTACAGGTAGATCTACCTAGAGGGAAGAGGTGAATAGTCTGTATATATTACAGGTAGATCTACATAGAGGGAGGAAGAGGTGAATAGTCTGTATATATTACAGGTAGATCTACATTGGGGAAGAGGTGAATAGTCTGTATATATATTACAGGTAGATCTACCTAGAGAGGGAAAGGTGAATAGTCTGTATATATATACAGGTAGATCTACATAGAGGGATAAGGTGAATAGTCTGTATATATTACAGGTAGATCTACATAGAGGGATAAGGTGAAGAGTCTGTATATATTACAGGTAGATCTACATAGAGGGATAAGGTGAAGAGTCTGTATATATTACAGGTAGATCTACATAGAGGGATAAGGTGAATAGTCTGTATATATTACAGGTAGATCTACAGGTAGATCTATTACAGGTAGATCTAGAGGGATAAGGTGAATAGTCTGTATATATTACAGGTAGATCTACATAGAGGGATAAGGTGAATAGTCTGTATATATTACAGGTAGATCTACATAGAGGGATAAGGTGAATAGTCTGTATATATTACAGGTAGATCTACCTAGAGGGATAAGGTGAATAGTCTGTATATATTACAGGTAGATCTACCTAGAGGGAAGAGGTGAATAGTCTGTATATATTACAGGTAGATCTACCTAGAGGGATAAGGTGAATAGTCTGTATATATTACAGGTAGATCTACCTAGAGGGAAGAGGTGAATAGTCTATATATATTACAGGTAGATCTACCTAGAGGGATAAGGTGAAGAGTCCTGGTTAATGCAGCATGTAAGTATGTTTATTTCATCAAGTGTATTTGAATTTTAGCCTCTATTGTAATTCCAAAGTTTTAATCACAGCTCAACCATTGAAGCTGACCTGTTTGACTGTTACATTGCTTACTCTATTGTTTCTCTGGGTCTCTATTTTGTCGAAGTCCAAGCCCTGATATTGTGTGGCAGGGTCCCATCGGTCAGCTTACATTCACAATGAGACTGGAGTCTCAGTACTGGTTGTTCTGGGCATGATTGTTAACTATCAGTTTATCTGAGACTGTATTTATCTGTCGTTTTCAGTGTTTGTGGTGTTTTAAGGGTATACTTAAGTTTATATATATTACTTTTAAATTCTTTCATAAAGTATGCATGATGTTGACATCATGGCGGTTGCATTAATCCCTGGACATTTCTGTAGGTCCTTCTAGTTTCTTCAGGTAGGGAATCACCTTATCTGAAGGGCTAACCCCCTGCATTCAAGTGAGGTGAGAATTGGGTTTAACATCGTGCTTGAGAATATTTCGCTCATATGACGACGTGCATGCTCGCGTGTGTGTGTATGTGCAGCTGCTTGTACTAGCCCAGACTGAAGCTGGTTTAAAAGTGCTAGCCCACTGAGATACCATGCCGCAGTGAAGCATGAATACCCCACTCAGACACATTATACTGACCCCGAGCCGACCAGTCCTTGATGTACCCATTAATGCTGAATGCCAGGCAGGGACCAACAAGTACCATATGTTAACGTTTTTTGCTATGACGCGGTTGGGGATCGAACCCGCGATCTTCCACTCTCCGGTTTGACGCTCTAACCACTACACCATGGAAGCGGTCTCTGCATTCAAGGATACACATGGCATCTACATTAGTTTAATATACACATTTGACTGACCCGCCGTGGAGGAAGAGAGATGTCCACAGTCTGTAGAACTGGTCAGGGTGGTCGGGGTGGGAGAACACAATCATTCCACATATTTGCTGCATACACTTCACCTGCAACACAACAAAAGGAAGGAACTACATATACACCCTAATAATTATCCCACTACATCATGTTGTCGCACCTGATACTGTTTACAGGCTATAAATAACAGGAAATTAAGCAGCAGTGGTTGAGGACAAAATGTGGAGGTCATCTAAGGTGGATAGTGACTTTGTTTGAAATATACTTCTGTGAATGGGTACCTGCAAGGATGAGATGGTAATGTCACGTGACTGTTAACTTTGAACTTCATATGTTCCCTTGGGAACTGAGAATGAAAATCGACAGCCCACTGATCCACAGACTGGGGTGATATTAAGCTGTTCAACACAACTAACTTTCAATCTCTAAGCCTTTATTTCCCTTTGGTTCATAAGCTGTTTGTTTCCATATATCACTTGACATCACATAATTGTGTCCTTAGAGAGGCAAGGGCCTGTTGTGCAATGTAACTAGGAGCTAGATGTATGTCAATATTAAGGCCAATACAGATTAATGTTAAGAGTTTCATACATGCCCCTAACACCCTGTTGTCTCTAATAATCTACATTGCAATAAGGCAGTTCTTATTTTTAAAGCCTGAAATTTGAAAATCGAAAAAAAAAAAAAAAAAAAAAATACAAAATGTTTTTTAAATCAGTGAATAAATCCTCAAGTGGGAATATCAACCACTTTCTACAGTAAAATGGAACTTCTTTTCTCGGTAGTGGATATTATTTCTCATGCACCAAAACAAACTCCTGGCTGGAGGACAATGGATGTCTTCATCTGATGATAACATATCAGCTGACAATATTAAGCTGTTCAACAAACCCTGACAGATAAAGAGCATGAAGGACATGAGTCACAAAAATGTAAAGGGTGTGTTTGGGCCACTCTTCACTACAGATGAAGAAAACCGATATCTGTTGCTATAGGAAATGTCTCAAATGAAATACATTCTATACATGATCCTAGCAAACACACATGATTTGTGTGAATTACATCCATTGAAACTTACCTACAGAAATGCCTTGAATTGATCCCATCTTACATTTTGACAAAGGGTACAGTTATTGTGTCACTTGGTCTTTACGCTGCCTTTAGCAATATTCCAGCAATATCATGGCAGGGGACACCAGAAATGGGCTTTTCACATTATACCCAAGTAGAGAATCAAAACCAGGTCTTTGGCGTGAGGAGTGAACACTTTAACCACTAGGCTACCCCGCCGCCCCTCATGTACAGTTAAGTATGGTAGTTGCTATGGATGAACTATGTCATTCACAAGATGATACCATTACAAAGTTGAAGCCAGTATGTTACCTGTGAACATAGGAATGCATCCTCATGGTAGTAGCCTCGCTTCAGATCACAGTGTTCTCTTGTTGTTATGAAACACTCTCCCTGGATACCATGGCAACAGGGATGACCTACCACTTCACAGGTCATGTGCCGATTTTCACTACTTGCTTTGGTTTGGTTCAGTTCAGTTGTTGTCTTGCAAAGCTGTAAAACACACAAATAGCCTCCAGCACTGGACCACTTCAACATACCAGGAAATAATCTAAATCTTGGCAATAACGTTTCCCTAAAATTGTCCTGACACATATATCTCCACATTAACGAATTGTGGGTATGGAATATTTTCTTTTAGCAAACCTGTGAGTAGTTGTGGTAGAAATCTTTCTGTAGATAGAGTTTCTGGATTAATGGGGTCAAGAATTACAAGGATTTCTTTGGGGTACATATATGCATATATGCATTTTTGCAACTGAAATTGTCCTGTGATAGTTGTAACAATGTTTTAGTAACATTTTTTATTTGTTATACGGCCACCCACCACGTGGGATTACCTCCCTTACTATGCATGCGTGGCCAGCCAGGTACATCCGTACCCCAAAATCATCATTCCTTCAGCTGATGATATACACTAGTGAACAGAATTGCGGGGAGGTGGGAGGTCTTACCCCAAGGAAAATTCTATTCAAAGAATTGAAAACTTCTACAGGTTTGGCTAATTCTTTTTCAGAAGAGATCTTGGTTAGGGTACATATATGTATAAACACAGACTCCCAAATACCAAGTCTCGGGAGGAGGGAAATTATGTTAGCGTACAACAAAACCAAAATAGCGAAAAAACATAGCCAAACGAGTGGTAGTTCGCCATTACACTTACCTGGTCACGTGATGTGCAGCTCGAAGGGAAGCATGCCAGGAGGTGACCCATAAGGGAGGTTTTGGACACATTTCCAATCTCAATATTGTTAAGCACAGAGAACACATAATAGCGTTTAGATATCGCCCCAAATAACTGGCACAATAAATATCGCACAAACAACTGACACAAGCCAACATGAAATAGTTTGTTTACTGGCAGGAACCCCAGCCTTCCCGCCACCATAACAGCAGAACAACTGGGTACCCGTACGGATTCCCTGTGTTTGTTTGATATAGACCTTCGGACATCCAACGGGTGAGCATGTGTAGGAGAGGTCCCCGATTTGGAAGGCTGGGTAAGAGTAGGAAGTTCGATAGGAGCTGTCACATGGAAAGCATGATCGACCTTAGGGCAGAAACTGTCCGGGAGGCGAATGCTGACATGATCAGCATGAAAAACTGCCAGTGCCAGGTCGGCTGACTTCTTATGATTATCCCTGACCCTTCTACTGGAGGTCACTGCCACAAGAAAAGCTGTTTTCCATGTCAACAACTGAATGGAAAGAGCCGAAAGATGTGAGAAAGCAGGAGCGGACAGCCAACCGAGAACGATTGACAAATCCCAAGGTGGGCTGCTTCACCTAAGAGCAGGTCGATCCACGTCAGCTAAGAAGCACTGTACAAGCTGCCTCTGAAGAGCACCATCGACAAGGGTGTGAAACATGGAAATAGCCGTGGAGTATCCACGAATGGTTGAGGCAGCCAAACCCTCTTCCAAACTGGACTGAAGGAACTCCAAAACCTGAACTAAATTCGCAGAAAAGGGATCTGCCGGTGCCCAGCCGGTGAGGGAGACAACCACTCGGCAACTACGAGAGACTTCACGAGATCCTCTTAGTGAGCCCACAGACTCGCCAAAGTTTGCTGTGTAGGGCGCATCCTCAATCGTGCCCAGCACATCACATCGACAGTCGCCACCATATGACCCAGCAGACGGAGCCATGTCCGCGCTGGGGCCTGGGGACGTGAGAGGAACGAAGACACCATCTCCCATACATGGGTGACACGATCGGATGAGAGGGAGACCAGACCCTAATGAGTGGCGAATCTCTCCCCTAAGAAAACCAGTTCACAATCCACCCCAGCTGTACTAGAATATCTAGCACCATGTGCGTAGAATCTAGACTTGTTGTTCGAGTCAGTGATCGCAGCAACCAGTCATCCAGGTAAGGGTGACCCACATCTTCCTTGTGACCTTGCTATTTACGCCTGCACTAACATGAGTTTGGTGAACACCCTTGGAGCAGTAGATATGCCAAAGGGGAGCATCTGGAACTGGTAACAAACCCCGTCGTAAGAGAACCGGAGGTAACTCTTGGACGAGGGGTGTATAAGTACATGAAGATGCGCATCTTTTAGGTCGATTGACCTGAGCCAACCATCGGGCTGAACCAAGGAGATCACCGAGTGTCGCCATCTTGAAGGATGGAACATCTATCATGCGATGTAACCCCTTGAGGTTGAGAATGGGGTGGAAGTTGCAGTCCTTCTTGGGCATGAGGAAGTATGTGGAGTACACCCCCATGTAACCAAAATTTTTAATCAAAACATTGTCACAACTGTCACAGGACATTTTCAGTTGCAGAAAATGCATATATATACCCCAAGGAAGATATCTTCTGAAAAAGAATGTCATATGTGAGATATGCTTACCGGCCACTGTGTGATGTCGTCTGCCCACTTAAACGGAGGGACTGAGGCAGGGTCAGTGCAGAATCTACAGGAAGAACACAGGGAATTAGTACTGCCCAAACAAGAGTATCTGTTTCCTATAGTTATCGGTTTCTGTGCAATGAGCTTTGAATGCATACATTTTAAGATAAACCATCTTCTTAAGCTACAGAAGTTAAGCCACTATGAAAGTGTATGCAGTTTCCACCCTTGTTGAACTAAGCTAGAAAATCGTTGCTAAAGCGCAGCACCACCAGAGGCTGTTATGAGTTTTTGTGTCACTTGCATGTGATTCAAGGTTCAAACAAAATGAAATTTACAAAAATTTCTTAAAGGACTTATCATTAAGGACCTAATATATTTTCAGGTCGAACATCGATTTACATTGTGAATAATGACTTAGAAAACTCGATGAATTTACTGATGCGTGCCAATTCTGAATATATATATCTTTTATTCAAGTTGCTTAAAAAAGTTAACAAAACATTTTTATATCACCAACATCTTGCTTAAACCAAACATAAGAAAACCGGCAGAAAATAACACATTTCGGACACCAGAAGCCCAAGAATACTTTCCACGTTTGTCTAGGGATAATAATAATTGATAGCTTTGATAGGGGTAGCGATAATCAGGCATTCTTATAAGTTTAATCCAGTATCTGATAGCTCTCATTTGACTCTCAATATGCATGCTATAGCGGCCTGTATCGCCAAGTACGGCTTTGTTGGAAGCAAATTTAAGCTACAGAAGTTAAGCCACTATGAAAGTGTATGCAGTTTCCACCCTTGTTGAACTAAGCTAGAAAATCGTTGCTAAAGCGCAGCACCACCAGAGGCTGTTATGAGTTTTTGTGTCACTTGCATGTGATTCAAGGTTCAAACAAAATGGCGGGGCCAGGTCAAGATGATCTGATCAAGATCTATACTGTAATAACCAGGTTTAAGCTCACAAAGTGCATTAACTTGCTTGAGTACATTGTTTTTTGTCAACACCCAGTGGACGGTACACATGCTTTGCAAATCCTGCAGTTGATCAAAACCTGCATTGCAGTTTATAAACTGGATGTCGATTCTTTAAGTTATTTTGACAGGACAATGCATGGACCATTAGTCCAGCCAGTTAGGGTGCAAACTGGACATTTGTTGTCCATTAACTCCCTGGGAAGATGAAGGTCATCTGTTCCTGCTGGGAATGAAGCAGTTCCCCAACACTGTCTATAACGTATAATGTTTGCGAGTTGGTTCACTTAGAGGAAAGACTGAGGTGATGTCAGTATAACCCTTTGGTGACACTCATTACCACATGTATTGTACTGACAAACCAAGTGTGATATCCAGAGCAAAACTTTCAAACCCAAGATGACTTGATCCTGGAACACCTATACACATTGAACTGCTGAGAACATATATTGTAGTCCTTACTGAGGGTCCTGGCCACACACGGATCCTGACGTTCTCTTGCCAACTCCTTGAGTGTTGTTGTCCCACTTCAGGAATGTAGATAATAAACTCTGCAAAATATACACAGCCATCAATACAGGAAGCAAGGGACGAGGATGGTGGGGTTTGTGGTGGGTGAGGTGGAACTTTGGAGACGAGGATGGTGGGGTTTGTGGTGGGTGAGGTGGAACTTTGGAGACGAGGATGGTGGGGTTTGGGGTGGGTGAGGTGGAACTTTGGAGACAAGGATGGTGGGGTTTGGGGTGGGTGAGGTGGAACTTTGGAGACGAGGATGGTGGGGTTTGTGGTGGGTGAGGTGGAACTTTGGAGAGCGAGGATGGTGGGGTTTGGGGTGGGTGAGGTGGAACTTTGGAGACGAGGATAGTGGGGTTTGGGATGGGTGAGGTCGAACTTTGGAGACGTGGATGGTGGATTTTGGGGTGGGTGAGGCGGATGGTGGAATCAATGGATGGTGAGATTTGGTGGTGATGGTGAGGTGGGACTTTGGAGACGAGGATGGTGGGGTTTGTGGTGGGTGAGGCGCATGGTGGAATTATTTGAAGTTGGGGTTTGGGGTGGTGAATCAATAAATGTGGGGCTTGGGGTGGTGATGGAAGGGTGGGTGGTGGAATCAATGGATGGTGGGGTTTGGGGTGGTGATGGAAGGGTGGGTGGTGGAATCAATGGATGGTGGGGTTTGGGGTGGTGGGAGATGGAGAAGTGGGTGGTGGAATCAATGGATGGTGGGGTTTGGGGTGGGAGAGGTGGTGGTGAATCAATGGATGGTGGGTGGGTGGTGGAATGGAATGGATGGTGGGTCAATGGATGGTGGTGGGGGTGGTGATGGAAGGGTGGGTGGTGGAATCAATGGATGGTGGGGTTTGGAGTGGTGATGGAAGGATGGGTGGTAGAATGAATGGATGAGTGGGGTTTGGGGTGGTGATGGAAGAGGGTGGGTGGTGGAATCAATGGATGGTGGGGTTTGGGGTGGTGATGGAAGAGGGTGGTGGGTGGAATGAATGGATGGTGGGGTTTGGGGTGGTGATGGAGAGGAGGTGGGTGGTAGAATCAATGGATGGTGGGGTTTGGGGGTGGTGATGGAAGATGGAGGTGGGTGGTGGAATCAATGGATGGTGGGGTTTGGGGTGGTGATGGAGAGGTGGGTGGTGGAATCAATGGATGGTGGGGTTTGGGGTGGTGATGGAGAGGTGGGTGGTGGAATCAATGGATGGTGGATGGTGGGAGGGTGGGTGGGGTTGATGATGGAGGGTGCATGGTGGGTGGTGGGTTTAGGGAATGGTGAATGGAGAGTGGGGTGGTGGTGGGTGGTGGGAATCAATGGATGGTGGGGTTTGGGGTGGTGATGGAGAGGTGGGTGGTGGAATCAATGGATGGTGGGGTTTGGGGTTGTGATGGAGAGGTGGATGGTGGAATCAATGGATGGTGGGGTTTGGGGTGGTGATGGAAGGGTGGGTGGTGGAATCAATGGATGGTGGGGTTTGGGGTGGTGATGGAAGGGTGGGTGGTGGAATCAATGGATGGTGGGGTTTGGGGTGGTGATGGAGAGGTGGGTGGTAGAATCAATGGATGGTCGGGTTTGGGGTGGTGATGGAGAGGTGGGTGGTGGAATCAATGGATGGTGGGGTTTGGGGTGGTGATGGAGGGGTGGGTGGTGGAATGAATGGATGGTGGGGTATGGGGTGGTGATGGAGAGGTGGGTGGTAGAATCAATGGATGGTGGGGGTTTGGGGTGGTGATGGAGAGGTGGGTGGTGGAATCAATGGATGGTGGGGTTTGGGGTGGTGATGGAAGGGTCGGTGGTTGAATGAATGGATGGTGGGGTATGTGGTGGTGATGGAGAGGTGGGTGGTTGAATGAATGGATGGTGGGGTTTGGGGTGGTGATGGAGAGGTGGGTGGTAGAATCAATGGATGGTGGGGTTTGGGTGGTGATGGAGAGGTGGGTGGTAGAATCAATGGATGGCTGGGGGTGGGTGGGAAATTAGAGTATAATAGTGTCCTGTGACTGGTAACTTGAAATCATATTACACTTTTAAATTGCTGCAATAATCTAACACCAAGAGATGTGTGGCCATCCAAAACTACCTGCCAATATCTGACTTGATTCAGGGAGCGTCTACAAATGTCTACATACACTACATCTCTTCTCTGTCATCTGAGCACATCCTGAGCCATCGTTCCTGACACAGCAGGCCGATGTCCTCTCCTCTGCAGTATCCAATGCCAGTGCCCGGTTCAGCGTTTCGTCCCAGCGCATACATGGAGCGTACTTTGCCCCCAGGTGGATCAAGTCAGCCTAGCAGAAGGCAACACACAGTGTTACTACGGATGCATTTGTCAACTGCACTCAACAGTGCCAAGTAATCTCTATATGTAACACATTTGATTCAACACCTTTCTTTGTTCAGATCTGACAAATTTTCAATAGAAGTTCAAATGATGTGAGTTTTATATGCAATGCATGGTTTCTTAATGTTAGAGAGAACATAAAAGCACAGTCCTGACTAAGAATTAGCAAAGTTAAGCTACATTGATTGAACATAACGTTTGAGTTATCTGTGTGTTACTTTTCATACCATCAAAATTCTGAATCATGATGGTAAAGCAAGGTGAAAAAATAGACACATCAAAAGAACACCACGTCATTTAGCCCTGAACAAGGTTGTTAGTTTTGGTTTGTTATTTGTTTTGTACCTTAGACTAATCATTGGTAATTATTAAATATAATTGGCATTTTATTTAAGGATTGTTTTATGTTTTTTGTGCATTTATCGAAGGATAACAGTCTTAAATTGTATAAAATCATGTAGTTTCCCTGAACTAATATAACGTTAAAACACAAGGACTTTTACAAGGTTAAAAGAATAGAGACCAAACGATTAAGAAAACTGACACAAAACAGTCTAAATTTCCATCAAGATACAACACTGCAGTTGTTTTATCAATAACTGACCTGTCTGGGTCCAATCCACAAGTTGTCTCTCTCCCGGTGATGTTCCAGCTGCATGGCTAGGTTTGGCATGCGCACCTACAACACAGGGCATGTAAGTTCCAGGAGTACAACACAGGGCATGTAAGTTCCAGGAGTACAACACAGGGCATGTAAGTTTGGCTAGTACAACACAGGGTATGTAAGTTTGGCTAGTACAACACAGTACATATAAGTTCCAGGAGTACAACACAGGGCATGTAAGTTTGTCTAGTACAACACAGGGCATGTAAGTTTGACTAGTACAACACAGGGTATGTAAGTCTGACTAGTACAATACAGGGCATATAAGTTCCAGGAGTACAACACAGGGCATGTAAGTTCCAGGAGTACAACACAAGGCATGTAAGTTTGACTAGTACAACACATGTCATGCAAGTCTGACTAGTACAACACATGGCATGTAAGTCCAGGTGTACAACACAGGGCATGTAAGTTTGTCTAGTACAACACAGGGCATGTAAGTTTGGCTAGTACAACACAGGGTATGTAAGTTTGACTAGTACAACACAGGGCATGTAAGTTTCAGGAGTACAACACAGGGCATGTAAGTTCCAGGAGTACAACACAGGGCATGTAAGTTTGACTAGTACAACACAGGGCATGTAAGTTCCAGGTGTACAACACAGGGCATGTAAGTTTGTCTAGTACAACACAGGGCATGTAAGTTTGGCTAGTACAACACAGGGTATGTAAGTTTGGCTAGTACAACACAGTACATGTAAGTTCCAGGAGTACAACACAGGGCATGTAAGTTCCAGGAGTACAACACAGGGCATTTAAGTCTCACTAGTACAACACATGGCATGTAAGTTCTAGTTGTACAACACAGGGCATGTAAGTTTGTCTAGTACAACACAGGGCATGTAAGTTTGACTAGTACAACACAGGGTATGTAAGTCTGACTAGTACAATACAGGGCATATAAGTTCCAGGAGTACAACACAGGGCATGTAAGTTCCAGGAGTACAACACAAGGCATGTAAGTTTGACTAGTACAACACATGTCATGCAAGTCTGACTAGTACAACACAGGGCATGTAAGTTCCAGGAGTACAACACAGGGTATGTAAGTCTGACTAGTACAATACAGGGCATATAAGTTCCAGGAGTACAACACAGGGCATGTAAGTTCCAGGAGAACAACACAAGGCATGTAAGTTTGACTAGTACAACACATGTCATGCAAGTCTGACTAGTACAACACAGGGCATGTAAGTTCCAGGTGTACAACACAGGGCATGTAAGTTCCAGGAGTACAACACAGGCCATGTAAGTCTGACTAGTACAACACAGGGCATGTAAGTTCCAGGAGTACAACACAGGGCATGTAAGTCTGACTAGTACAACACAGGGCATGTAAGTCTGACTAGTACAACACAGGGCATATAGGTACCAGGAGTACAACACAAGGCATGTAAGTTTGGCTAGTACAACACAGGGCATATAGGTACCAGTAGTACAACACAAGGCATGTAAGTTTGGCTAGTACAACACAGGGCATGTAAGTTCCAGGAGTACTATAATACAGGGCATGTAAGCCTGACTAGTACAGCACAGGGCATGTAAGCATGAACTTTACAACAACAACAATAGAGTTGCCCCTCTGTTTGCAAATCTCATTAAATAACATCACTGCCTGTGAGTTGTGGTTATGATGGCATAATGAAATAATAAACTTACTGTTTCAGAGTAGACAGTCTCACTGATGCCAATAGGAGCGATGCCATAGACGGACACAGACACGATGAAGACAACAATCTGGACAAAGGTGACCCAGTAAGTGAAGTAGGGCCTGAAACAAACAGTACATCTCAGCACCAGCTTCAGGCTGCACACACTCACACAAACAGCATCTAAGCAATAAGAATAAGCTTTACAGACAATCAAAGAATGGTTACGCAAACAGGAATAATCCTGGTGATGAATTGTTTGAACATTTTATCAGAAACTATCTGTCTGATTTATTTACTTTAAAAAATACCCCTACTTTAACCCCAAAAATTTTCTGCTTACATGTTACATTTATATTTCATATTGAAAAAAACTTTCAAAAACCTTTCAAAAACTGGGTGTGGCCTAATCTCCTGCCTACCTGTGATCATCCATCTCATCTATCTGATGCTTGACATCCTCTGTCTGTCTGTCACTCCTGAAGCTTCGGTTCATGAGGCGACCCACAAATCCCATCCCAACATTTCGCTTGTTCCTCTCCAGAACTGAGTCCATCACCTTCTGTGTAATCTGACCCAATCCAAAATCTACCTCATCAATGCCTGTCCCTGGGGTGGAGGGGTAGGCTTGGGGCGGGGTCCGACGCCACCCTGCAGCAGGTCTGAAGGGCAACATGTTGGAAATGTCTCAAGGGTCAATATTAGTAGGGAATCATACAGGTACAGCGTTGGCTAGGCATCTAAGAACAAATACACTGAGAATCATGGCAGTGACCTCAGATGGCAAGCGATTCAGGAATAATGTTTCCTGGACGAAAAATCCAAATTATCATTTGAGTATGTTTTTTTATTAGCATGAGTCACTCAACATTCTTGTATTTCCAAGTGAGAAAATGGGTAATACACACTTTCTTACACGAGTTTTAAATAATTTGTTTATTATCGATTATTTCTTAATCCATCTGAGCTCCCCTTTAGAACAGTACACTCATGAAACCTGTCATCGGGGAAGACCATGATTGTCACAAGACATCCACACCAACCTTCAGGTAGGACAGGAACTGTTGTGTGACCTTGCTCAGACTGTATGTCACAGGAATGAGGTCAACAGTGAACAGCAGACAAATGCACATGAAAAGACAATGGTACTTGTGCACATACAATTTTTGGCAAACCCAGTAATAACACTTAAATGTGTTCTGTTCAGGCCATTTTGAAATATTTTGTGAAAATCATGTTAACACGTTTCAAGGATAGATAGATGCAAGGCTGGACAATGATCCCTGACATATCCTCCATTATCTCCAGGTCAGCCAACCAGCTGCAGCTCATCATGTGTAGTGTTTCTATACATAAACATTACCCAATATCACGGGCAGCCTTGGCGTCTGCAGCATCCGACTCCTCCGAATCCGGTCCAGTTTGGAAGGCTCTACCTCTGTCACGGGTTCATCATAAAACACATCGTCCTCCAGGCTGAAGTGGTCCTCTGTCATAGGCTGCAGATGACACAGAATGTCAATAATCTCGGGATGAAACAAGTGGGTATGACAGGCTTGCAGGCTGATTACATATGTTCACATTTACTGTAACAACAGTGGGATCTGGTCAATAATCAAGGCGATATTATCAATAGCATCATGCAAATTAACATTAAGTTTTGATTTTGTTTTATTCAGTCCATATCAAGACTGCCTGTAAAGAACTGAGGCTTGGACACAGTGGCTTGTCCAATGCACTGAGTGAGTGAGTGAGTGAGTGAGTGAGTGAGGTTTTACACAGCTTTCAGCAATATTCCAGCAACATTGCTATTCCAGTGGTCAAGCAATAGAGAGCAAACTGGGGGCCTATTCTCGGCCATGGGGTAAGTGAATGTTATAACACACCTCAGTCAGCAATACTTCAGTTATATCATGGTGGTGTACATGGTGTATCAGTAATGATGCTTGGCAAACAAGTGTTGATAGCAAAAGCACAAATAACACAATGAAAATTGTCATGAGCATCCAGTCCTTATTTTTATCCCTTCTGTGACCATGCTTGGAATTCTCACTGTGCCCATCACCCACCACAAGACTGTCTGTGGTCCTGCATGCATGGTCAAGTCTGTACAGCATGCAGAGGAGGACTAATGACGTACATATACCTGGGAGGGGGTGTAGCTGGATGCATCCATCATATCCTCCGCCAGACTTGCTGGGGCATAACCTCGATTTTTCAAGCCTTTCTTAACACGGAGATTTCTGCGAGCTCCCTAAATGAAATGAAACAAAATGAACTGACTGTGTCGATGTGTATTTCTCACGAGAAATATCTCAGTCAGCAGAATAATGAGGAAATTTGTACAAGGAAATACAGAACATCAATTGTAAAGATGTAATTTTCTGACTAAATTTGATATTTTATACTTATCCTGACTCATGCTAATTATGCTTGTCTCCTTCCTTTTGCGAATGATAGTGGAACACTTGAAATCCCTTGAAGTTCCCTTTAAAAAAGCGGACGTAAAATCACTCACCCAGAGTAGCATCCCTTTCCTCCCTTTGGCGCCTTTTGGTCACCTGACCGACCATGCCTTGTCACTCTCTCCGTATGAATGCCCGACACCCAGATTTACAGGGAAATCCAGAGTGCCATAAGAGGGGAGGTTGGGAGGGCTAACCTCATCGAGTCATGATAAGTATAAAATATCAATTTTAGTCAGAAAATTACATATTTTTCCTTATCCTGACTCATGCTAATTATGCTTGCAGAATCCGTCGGAAACGGTGATGGGTCAAGCCACATTCTGGATTCACTGGTTGTAGATTTACGTCCTGTATTACCCCCCATGACAGCACTGTTGAAGATTCTGTTCTTTCAACTTCTCTCTGATGAGTCTGGGGGGAACCACAACTTGTCAGATTTCTTCTGAAACTTCTCCTGACATTTTTGTGTGGATTTAAATATACTAATATTCCATTAGTTATCTATTGCAACTCCATCTCTTGATGCATGCATCAAGTGGAGATGCGACCCTTCTTCATGTACGAGTATGTCATATACAAGTACAGGGTCCATCACTCATGCTAGTCTGTCCTAGACGTGTGCATGGACTTATAGCCATTGCTCTCCAGAGCGTTGGTTTTCACAAGTCACGTGATAAAAGGGGTGAGATTTACTCAGCGCCTTTGTGGAACCATTAGTTGTTGTGCTACAACAAGTGGCCTAAACTGGTGAATGCCTGAGATGTCTTTGGTGGCAATGTCTCTGAGGTAGTGGTTGGCAAACACCCGTGTTCGATCTCCAAAAGCAGCCCTCCATTATAGTTGTGATCGAGCAGTTTCCATGCAGAGCAAGTGTTGATGCCGGGGCTCTGACTTCATGTGGATTTGAGGCTCGTGGAGGCTCAAGTCCTGCTGCTTTATAGGCTCTTAGTATAACGGCTCTCATCCAGATCGATATCGTTGTCCGTGAGACTTCCGCGTTTAGTCCTTCCCATGAGATGCTTAGAGCATCTGTTGCCCACGCCTGAGGATCTGGAATCGGTGACATGAAGGTTGGTAGCTGTTTTTTTAACTTTGTTGCAAACAGGTCTACTAGTGGGGATTCTATAGTCTGTATGATGAACTGGAATGCTTCTGGATGCAACATCCATTCCGTCGGGGATGGTTGTAGTGGACGAGATAGAGCATCTGCTATGACATCCTTTGCTCCCAGAATGTGGCATGCCTTCATGTAGATGTTCAGGACGTCGACTATGCTGAACAGGAGAAAGCTGAGTTGTAGCAGACTTGTTGATCTTGTTGACCCTTGTTTGTTGATGTAAAACGCCACTGTGGAGTTGTCCGTGCGTTCTTTAGTACGCTGGGCCAATGTTGTAAAGCGTTGATTACTGCTTTCATCTCCAACAGATTGATGTGTGACTTCTGATCCTGACTCGACCACTTCCCATCTGCCACTTCGTTGTTGAAGTGCGCATCCCATCCTTGTAGGGAGGCATCCACGTAGAGATGAGTGTTGCAAACCGGCTCTGTCAAAAAGGTTCCTCCGCAAACATTTGACTTCCGAGTCCACCATAGGAGATATGGTTTCAGGCTGTCTGGCATTCTCTTCCCACAGAAGTTACTTGTCATATCTTCCTACGAACCTCTGTTCTAATACGGCCCTTTCATGGTGCGAGTGTTCAGGATTCGGGATTGGTTGCAATCAGATTTAGTTGTGCAATCAGCGACGTTGTTTCAAAAGTGATCATTCGCAAGGCCTCGTTAATTTCCGTATGCTTCGGGAAAACTGGAACCTCTTCCCCTGCGCATCGCACAAACGTTTCTTCTAGACGGAACTCAAGTCATGTAATGGCGCAGGCTTCCCTCTTCATCCAGATACGGTGGAGAGAGTGTAGAACCTTCACTCAGTCTAGTAGTCGTTGTAGAGGTCTTCATAGCAGCCTTCTCCTGAGCGAAGCAACGTTCCATCATCGACATCATCTGGTCTGTAAACTGTTGCATGAACTGTCCCGGGTTGAAGTTCTGCGTTGTCTGAAGAGACTGCTGCAGGGATGATGCATCTGATACTGAAGAGACGTCATCTAAGGCTCGCTGCACTTGTGAAGAGTTGACGCTGCTGCTATCTCTGGTACCCGATGTCTGCGTTGATAGAAGGTCTTCTGTCAATGTCTGTGCTGATACCAAAGCCGATGTAGCTGTAGAAGCAGGCTTCGTCTTCTTACTGACGATGGAGACTACTGGTATGAGGATGGGTGGATCATCATAAACATCTGCTTCTTCCGGAGGAACAATCTCGGCTGAGAAAGACCTCGTCTTCTGCGTAGAGCTGAGCATAGACTTCGATGAAGTCTTCAAGGTAGTAGCCTTGATTTAGCCTTCTTCATCTGCGACAAGGTCAGCTCAGTAGACGATGATCTCTTATGGCCTCCGGCGTTCACCACTGGTACATCGACCTGCTCCCAAGAAACGTTAGGCAATTCACTGGAAATATGAATGTCTGCAGCAGTGGTTAACACACGGTTATCAGCGCAATCACTCGATTTAGACATGACTTGTGAATGCCTACGTACCCAGTCCTTAGCACGTCTATGGATGGAAAAAAGGTAATTCGATAAATTCAACAGAGGTTAAATTTACACAAAACTTACAGCGAGAGCTGAAAGAATATGACACAGTGCAATGTGGACATAATAAATGAGGGTCAGCCGCAGACATTTGGTACCTACAACGAATACAGGTTTTCATCAAATGTAAACACAATGAAAACACAAGTCAAACAACAGAAAATTTAGATCAAATTTCAAACTATAATGTAGAATATAATCCTGAAAACCGTATACAGCAATAATTTTGATGTAAGGTCCGAAAATATAAAAGGATATGTGCCGTATGGGGACCCAGGTGCTCTCACAACCGTCCTCAAGGGCTAAGAAGGAGAGAGTGACAAGGCATGGTCGGTGAGGTGACCAAAAGGGCGCCAAAGGGAGGAAAGGGACGCTACTCTGGGTGAGTGATCTTCCGTCCGTTTTTTTAAAGGGAACTACAAGGGATTTCAAGTGTTCCACTATCATTCGCAAGAGGAAGGAGACAAGCATAATTAGCATGAGTCAGGATAAGAAATTTTTTCTAATAGTTCAGGTTTTTCTCCCTATTTAGAGATAAATGTTATATTCAAACTAATATTAAAAACTTGACAATAATTGTGTTGAGTTTGTAAAAGCAGTTTCAGCAGCCATGTCGGATTTTCTTGTCTTCTACACAGCCCACAACTAGATGTTTTTTTATGCTTTATCATTCCAGCTGTACTTGTCAATACCAAAGTGTAGGATAGGCAAACCAGTCAGGGTTACCACAGTGCTCGATAACATGCACTCTGATCACACATTATAACTACCAACACCTCATCAAAGGTTCCTACAGCAAGCTTGGAAGTACTAGGGACCTATTCTAGCTGACAATCCTGATAGACAACTTACTGCTAATGTTGTGAGGCCCTTCAGTGTCATCTTCACAACCGAGTCTTTCCGTGCCCTTTTGCGTGGCAGCCCTTGAGTACTCCGGTAGTATGTACTGATGCTGGACATGGGTGTGCTGCGCCGTGATGTCGGATGTCGGAGGGGGTCCACGATGTGGGGTAGTCGTGACCCATCAACGTCATCCTCAACTGTCTTCTTCAGCTTCCCTATAGATCCAGCGTACCTCTTGCAGCGGTTGTCCCACTTGGCTCTAGATTCCTCCATGTCATCTCCGACACCAAAGAAATCAGCAATGCTTGATTTCATGAATCTGAGAGTAATTCAGCTGTTTTAGTTTCCATGTATATAATCAAAAGACTTTTATGTGAACATTATATGTGAACAAAGATACTGTGGTAAATATCAGGCATAACTGCCATTTTTCAATGTATCTCTTTCTGATACTGAAAAGTTTAATAAAGGTAGCAACCAAACAATGAAGTGACTGCACTGTAACTTTGTTTCATAAAATAATTTTTATCTATATTTGCCCAAACATTAGCATGCTAGATCGTAGAAATTATTATGTTTACTTCAAGATCAATGTCTATCCATACAAGGTTATTTTTCAAAATGACTAAACCTCTCATGTTAGTTCAAATACTACCAATGTCACTTTCATACAAAACCGTGAACATGTGTAAGACTTTTAGTGCTTTACCTATATGTCTCTATACAAAACAGTTCATATGAAGTTAATTTGGCTTATAAGTGTGAGTCTAATGCAATTAAATAGACATCCTTATAAAGTGAGTGAGTGAGCTTACTTTTATGCCACACTCAGCAATATTCCAGCTATATGGCGGCGGTCCATAGATATTCGAGTCTGGACCAGACAATCCAGTGATCAACAGCATGAGCATCGATCTACGCAATTGGGATACAATGACATGAGTCAACCAAGTCAGTGAGCCTGACCACCCAATCCAGTTGGTTGCCTCTGATGACAAGCATAGGTTACTGAAGTTCTTCACAGGTCCCTTATAAGGGGAGAAAATGCTGTAAAGGAATTCTGTTGCAGCTATCCTCTAGTGCACCTTACCTTCCAAACCTCTGCATCTTGGTGCCGCCTGGGTCCATCGAACTGTTCATTCTCATGGGCGGTGCACTGACAGTAGTGAGTCTGGAAACCTGCCGATTGTAGTCCATCTTGAGTTTGTCTTAGGAATCCTTCAAACTGAAAAAATATTCCACCATGAAACTTGACATGAGCATTGCAGGTAAACGAGTACCGGGATTTTCCGTATTTAAGTCCTGGGCTTAGTAATGGAAAATGACCCCTCTCGTTAACAAATATAAACCCCATAATCATGGCTTAAATTCAGGAAATGCTTGTAACTGAACAAAATGATTCTAAGTCACAGTAAAATGGAATGAACTATAATAATGATATTATCATATTTTATTGTGACTGTGTGTGAGTCACATGGATTGAGAATGTCTCTTTGAGTATAGAGAACCTGACCTCTCTTGGGACTCCAAAATGTTATGTATACATGAAAACCTCTAACTGCACTACAAACATTATATATGCCGACGTTCGCCGTGTACTTTTGCAAAGGGATGTCACTCCAAACAATAAAATTTGAAATCTTAATTTAGGCCCATGAGCTTAATAACAGGAAAATATCCCGTTTTTAAGCCGAAGGGCATAATTTCGAGTGGGCTTAAATACGGGAAATCCCGGTAATTTATTCTCATACAGACTGTGTTCTATCTTAAACAGAAGTACCTGCTTTGTACTCAATATAGATGGTTCCTACTCTGTTACTATGAATACTATCACTTTGCCATGGACATGGGTGAATGGTCTGTTTGTGCTCTGTAAGCCGTCTGTACCTAAAGCTTTTAAATTCACCATGGCTTTCAGCATCATAGTAGATTTTAGTGTTATCATAATTTTTATATCATACACACTATTTTTTCTGAGTTGATTAGACAGAACACATTATTAGAATAGGGCTTCTGACTGGTTTGAATGAGGGTCTTGCTCACCAGTGTGGAGCCAAACTCTCAAACTTTAGTCTGGAATTATAATTAGCCTCTTATGTAAAACTGCATCTACGGTATTATCACGTTCTTCCGGGAGTTCTTATGGACTCTTTGTGTCTTACTATTTATCAGTAAAAGAATTCTATTTATTGATATGTTTTTCTTTCTGTCAGAGAAAGCCTTGTTCAACATGGGTGTTTGCAATGGCCACTGACTGTAGTGAGTGAGTGAGTTTAGTTTTATGCTGCGCTCAGCAATATTCCAGCTATATGGCAGTGGTCTGTAAATTATCGAGTCTGGACCAGACAATCCAGTAATCAACAGTATAAGCATCGATCTACGTAACTGGGATACGATGACAGGTGTCAGTCTGACCACCTGATCCCGTTAGTCGCCTCTTACGACAAGCACGGGCTACTGAAGATCAGTTCTAACCTGGATCTTCATGGATCCCACTGACAGTAACCTTTTCAATTTTTACATGAAAATCTACACTAACATCTGGATCAATTCCAGTGGCTCTCATAAACTTCAATCACACATCCTTAGTTTCCACTTGCCAATTTGATTGGCTACGCTACCAAGTACCAATCAGAACATGGGTTACATACCTGCCTCAAAGTTGGGTTAGCAATATCAACAATATGGTAGCCAGTCCCATCATGATTTGTGAAAAAATTCCACACTGAAAAACTGACGAACACACAAAAAACACCTCCAAACTTATTTGTGATGAAAAGGATGTCTTCACATCCACTAAAACTGGTGTGGCTTTGGGTTCTAAGTAATACAAAATACCTCCCTTTCCTCTATGTCATTGTTTTATTGGTTGGTAAAATGTTAATGAAAATCAAGGGCACACAACTTGCAATCACAAGAACCGCAGGAATGGATGCATGGGTTGGTGTAGGTTTACCGACATGTGAGGCCGGGAGATATAGAGGATGTACTTTGTCTTGACACGTGAGCATCATAGCATCATGCACGGACACTGAGTATGATTTTACTATGAATAGTTTTTCTCACAGCAGTATGCACAAACAAGATTTGAAATTATGGATGGTCCTTGGGATGTTTGGGGTTCTTTTTCTTTTAAAAAATATTTTAGTTTCAGGAACCCTTTGATCATTATTTTCAACAATAGGGTTATGACACAGATTCCTTGATTTAAGCTCTTAAGTTCAGACACACCATCAGTTCTCACATTTCTGTTACTAGTATTCAGTATGAATCTGGTTTAACAGCTGGCGTTTCCTTTCACATATGGAATCACAATGACAAGTTTGGTAATATAACACTGTGTATAATATTGCAACCTGACTATTGAGATACATAATCCATTGGACAAAGTTTAATGATGTTACATACTTTACATAAGTATTATATTACAGCCCTTTTTCCTAGTTCAAAAAATAGAAATACTCATATGTTATAAAATTACAAATTATACTTCCTATTCAAATTGTAATCATGCAAGTGTCTATGCCTTCTGGTCTTCTCTACATATATTATTTATGTACAAACAATGATATATAGTAATATTCCAAACAACTTCTCAATGCACACTGAAATCTAAAATAGGATGGGACATTTAAACAAATATATCGAAACTAAATACCTGCCTGTTACAATGATTCCAGACCTAAATTGGTTAAGGTCTATATTACCACTTAAAAACAACTGTGACTATGTTTCACTGAATCCTGAATTCCAAAAACTGTTACTTACATCATGCTACATACACTTTGAAATGCTGTGGATGGTGGATAATGTCATGTGATTTACTGTCATTACACACTGGCATTCAAAATGGCCATGGACATGTAAAGCTGTGAGATTAAGAGTGCCACCGACATACAGTTTGATGGGGTGCAAATATAGGTTTTGAGTCATTTGTATTGGTCAAATATTTTGCATTTTTCATCAAATGAATCACATGTATTATTTTTATAATTTTAGCCGTGCTGCCAGGGCACAATGAAATATTTCACCTGTGCATTTTCAAAATGGCATGCAAATTAAGCAATATTTTAATCCCTGTAATCATGGTTATGTGGTTGACCATTTTATCATCAGGATCATTCAAGATTTTCTTCATAAAACTTGAGTGGTTAGGAAAATATGGGAAGGGGTTGTCTAAAAATCTCATTAAAACTTGACATTAATTTCAATTGTCCCAAGCAGTGAACATGTCAAACTTTAAATATTTGCATTCAGTCTGGATCTTGATGCTGAGACTAGTCACCTCATGTTAAACTGTTACACGTCTCTGTAGAACATAGCACATGATAAACATGACAAAACATCAACTTGCAGACACAGTAGGAACATGTTGAATGCCTTGATTCACACGTTGTAGGACAGCCAGCTGGCCAAGTTTCTCTTACAGGGGCTTGCCATGCAAAAATAGCATCAAGGTATATTTGTCACCACCAGGGTTATAGAACTACAGTAGAACGACAGTAGTAGTTGTTAATATTAGCATAACAAGCCCCTGGGAACCTTGTAACATCCCATTATGATCCCAGTGATGCCAAATATACCTTGATGCTATTCTGTGTGTGACAAAGCCCCCAACCCCCCCATCTCTTATACCAGAGGCACAGATAAGCTGCGTATCTGCGTAAATTACGCAAATATTTATCTGAAAACTCAATTCCTATTAAGACTATTGAGTAGTAGACTACGTTTGAAGTTTTGAAAATACTCAATAAGTTTGATCTTACATGCATACACACATAAAGGTCACATTTTAGCTTGCGTACGGGTGGTTAGATAAAATAACTGAGGTACTAGTATATTGAGATGTTCTATTTCAACACGTGAGCTTGGCTACTTGCAGTCTTTCTTATCGTTTCTCATATTACAGATCAAATATGAATAGCAAACACGTACATCCAACATTTGAACTTTATCATTTTTATACAAATTTATGGAAAATGGAAAAATACCCAATTGAGTTGGATTGAGGTGGGTACAATGTATTTGGTTACTCAAAGGAAAATTAGGATACCCAATTGAGATGAACACAAGTGAGTACATAACTCAATGACCCAAAAAGTTATCTGTAGCTCTGCTTATACACAGATGTCTCTCTGTTGACAGATGATCTTACAATGTCACTGAATGAACAGAAATCATCAACCATTATAGACCTCTCATATACCAGTCTCTGCCAAACACATTTGAACATTCTTGTCTTAACATCAGCAATATTTCATTAGATGTGGTTGGAGTAGCAGATCTTTCTTGGCCAAAAGAATATTACTAGAATCAGACATTAAACTGGTGCAGAGAGATACGTACAGGACACATAAATTTCTCTATAAGCACACTACCAGCTGGTTATTCATAACACCTAGCTCAGACCATTAGCATCCACAGCTGCATTGTATGGTTGTTTGTTGTTTAACACCGCATTCAGCACATTTATGACAGCGGTCTGCATCGTATGTAATTGATTACAAAATCTTAGTTGCTCACACAATCATTAATTTCTCTGAAGGCATATGTCGAGAAATTCACCAGGAAATAGGAACCGTCTTCTTCATTTTTAGACCTGACGACAGCAAGATTACATTTGATATTTTGATTAGTCCAGGAGACATCGTTTATATTAGGGGTAGTGAATACTAACCTCTCAAATGACACGTCCATCAATTGCTTCAGACTTAAGGTAGTAACCATCAAGCATCAGACGGCTGAATCATTCGTTATATAATGTTACAGAGTAGAGGGTCGGCGCCAAATTGTATAACGAAAACCGGACATGTCACTCCCTAGATACGAGAAGGCACTGAACCATGACGCTTCTGCCTTTCCATCACATCTATGTCCAACATATGGCGTCTAATGTCCCATTTGCACGATTCAACATAAACCAAGCAATAAAAATATCATCAAAAACAGTGACGTAAATAAAACAAAGACTCCCAAACAGATGCTTACATCGAACCAACCTACACCGCCAAATAGTTCCGTGTTTTCCTTTTCAGTGTTCCATCTGCGCATGAACGGAAGTAAATTTTTATCATTCCACAGTTGCCAAAATATGCTTTTCCCAAAGAAAGAAGAATTAAAATGAGATTGCTTAAGCAGTTCAGACCAAATACTCTCGAAAATTAAAAATCATTTGGCTGAGAACTCTTTGAAAAGTGTGGGCAACGTATTATTCTAAAAATAGTGCTGTTGTCAATATAAACTAACTTTGCATCATTCGATTGGACGATCCGACATATTGTTAAATTGAAAAGCTTTTTCAAGCGTTGGTGATGTTCATCAAATGTATGATTAGTATTCCCACGGTCTTGAATATATAAGATATTCGTTATCATTCAGGGGTGGATACAGCTTTTTAAAAAGGGGTGGGAGGTGCGCACTATTAAAAAGGAGGGGTGCATATTTCATTTTCACCCGAGTTTCAATGGTCATTTAACAAACTTTCAGCACAAAAGGGAGGGTGCGCACCCCTGCACACCCCTCTGGATCCGCCTATGTCATTTGTTTACGAAGATCATGGGAAAATGTTATTCAGCCACAGAACAGAGAATGATGAATAGATTGCGTCTAATATATTGTTTGTTTGGTATATAACTTCTTGATTGTAACAATAGTGGAACTAAATATAAACACTGTATGCTAACATGGGTACCGGGGATCCAAGACACAATCGATGACACTATGTTACTCTCGAATAGGGTAGTTATTGGAGGAAAATAATTTATAATGTTATCATAATCACATTTTGTAGGAGAGCCAACCATTATGTACAACTACATCATGATACTAAACTGTTTACGACCGAAACAGGTATTGTGACTTCAAGTAAGTTATATATCTTCTTGTGATTATTGGCAGACAGACACATGATTATTATCGTCTTACTCACGTGTACATATGATACATTGAGATATGCAATAGAATGCACATTTTTTATGTTGAATACCCATGCGCAATCGGTGAAGGATTTATCAAACACAATGAAAATATTCAGCTGGTCGCGTGAAATTGTAAGATGTATATACCATTTTATCAATTACATTGTATTTGTATAAAATATTCAGTTGTTTACAAAGTATATATTGCCTTTCCCGGAAATGAGAAATGTTAAATATGTTCTTTGAGATACATAAAACATGTTACTTGGTTTGTCACATTGATAAAACTAAGTGTCTTGATAGAATCCACATTGAGAACAATTTCTCTAGCGTTATGCATTTCATCCTCGATTTCATTTATACAATTATAACAGGTTCTAAGGTGCGTTTGGACTTGTTTCTATCGGCCAGTTTAAATGCGCGTGGGTGTTACCCCACACCTGAATAACTGTCACTCCTATATCTAATCACAGCACAGTTCTAAACGACAGTCATGGCATGACCGCATTTTTCCTATATAAATTTGAAGAATCTGAAGACTTTGTGAAAATAGCAAGTTAATTCATCACAAATTTAACAGCACAGGAAACTTCATAATATCTGGACTGCAAATAAAAAGAATTTAAAATTGCGTCTGTTATATCCTTGGAATTTCATTATATTTAGCATCCATACAGTTTTCCTGTTCATGTTTTCGAATGATTTGAGTGATGCGTTCACGTGACAACGTTAGTCCACTGCCGGGTTGTTGTTTCACATACACAACTGTTCATAATATTTGGCAACCTTGCGATGGAATATAGAAGTTTGATGCTGACATAAACCAGGTTCATTCATGTGAACCTTTCGTATCATATTAGTAGTAGTAGTAGTAGTAGTAGTAGTAGTAGTAGTAGTAGTAGTAGTATTGGTAGTAGTAATTGTTCTTGTTGTAGTAGTAGTACAGCTGTCATAACAATTCCGTTAAGATTGTTTGCCTTATATTATTAAGAGCTGGAGTTAAATGATATTTTCGGTTAGACATTCACGAGGATTACATAGAGCCATTATTGAAATGATAATTCAAAACGATTGTGTACAAATCCCGCATTGTATTAATTCAGACGCAAGTTATCATTAAAGTTACATTGGACTAAGAACTGACATTCATTTTCAACCACATTAATAAATAATGTATACTGATTGTAAATATGCTGTATTTGCCATGACCCTCGGCAAGTGCTCGAGAGGGATTGGCCTCCCTACGGGTTTCGGTATAAAGAGGTAAAATAACACACCTCAATTTATCTTAACTCCGGACAAAACGTTTCCGTCTCTTTTTCTATGTTTATTTTAAAAGGGTGTAGAATGCAGATTATTTGGTGCAATGTTATTGGTGTAGTGATCCCGCACCAACGAAAGGTCAGCTTGTGTCAGAATTTGGTACATTTTTGACACGCTGGTGCGACTCAACCGGTGAAGGAGATTATGTGCGTCCCTAATGAATACAGCAGACTGAACACAGTTCATATGCAAGAACACTTCACACACATGCCTGGTTAAATAAACCAACTTTGTCCACATATTGCCTTATAACTTGAAAAACATTTTCCGTAAAGACGTTAGATAAATATGGATCTGAGTAAGGGATGAGTGGAAATGCAGGTAAATCCCCAGCACCTGTCTGTCTGGCAGCAATAAATCCTGTGCTATGATGTATAATAGCATAGTAGCGCGAAGAAAAGCGAGACTTGGTCTTCGATGTTATTTTCATTGTAGTAAAGTCTTGAAGGACCCAATTTAGAGCAAGCATTGGAGGTACACTGAGCCAAGCAGTTTGGAGGTACACTGAGCCAAGCAGTTTGGAGGAACACTGAGCCAAGCAGTTCGTAGATATACTGAGCCATGGAGTTTGGACGTACACTGAGCCAAACAGTTCGGAGGTACACTGAGCCAAGCAGTTTGGAGGTACACTGAGCCAAGCAGTTTGGAGGTACACTGAGCCAAGCAGTTCGTAGATATACTGAGCCATGGAGTTTGGACGTACACTGAGCCAAACAGTTAGGAGGTACACTGAGCCAAGCAGTTTGTAGGTATACTGAGCCAAGCAGTTTGGAGGTACACTGAGTCAAGCAGTTCGGAGGTACACTGAGCCAAACAGTTCGTAGGTACACTGTTCGTAGAGGTACACTGAGCCAAGCAGTTTGCACTGAGCCAAGCAGTTCGGAGGTACTCTGAGCCAAGCAGTTTGGAGGTGCACTGAGCTAAACAGTTCGTAGGTACACTGAGCCAAGCAGTTTGGAGGTACATTGAGCCAAGCAGTTCGGAGGTACACTGAGCCAAGCAGTTCGGAGGTACACTGAGTCAAGCAGTTTGGAGGTACACTGAGCCAAGCAGTTCGGAGGTACACTGAGCCAAGCAGTTCGTAGGTACACTGAGCCAAGCAGTTCGGAGGTACACTGAGCCAAGCAGTTTGGAGGTACACTGAGCCAAGCAGTTTGTAGGTACACTGAGCCAAGCAGTTTGGAGGTACACTGAGCCAAGCAGTTTGGAGGTACACTGAGCCAAGGAGTTCGGAGGTACACTGAGCCAAGCAGTTTGGAGGTACACTGAGCCAAACACTGAGCCAAGCAGTTAAGAGGTACACTGAGCTGAGTTTGAGGTACAAAGCAGTTTGGAGGTACACTGCAGTTCGGAGGTACACTGAGCCAAGCAGTTTGGAGGTACACTGAGCCAAGCAGTTTGGAGGTACACTGAGCCAAGCAGTTCGGAGGTACACTGAGCCAAGCAGTTTGGAGGTACACTGAGCCAAGCAGTTCGGAGGTACACTGAGCCAAACAGTTCGGAGGTACACTGAGTCAAGCAGTTCGGAGGTACACTGAGCCAAGCAGTTTGGAGGTACACTGAGCCAAGCAGTTCTGAGCCAGGCAGTTCGGAGGTACACTGAGCCAAGCAGTTTGGAGGTACACTGAGCCAAGCAGTTCGGAGGTACACTGAGCCAAGCAGTTTGGAGGTACACTGAGCCAAGCAGTGAGCCAAGCAGTTCGGAGGTACACTGAGCCAAGCAGTTCGGAGGTACACTGAGCCAAGCAGTTTGGGGTACACTGAGCCAAGCAGTTTGGAGGTACACTGAGCCAAGCAGTTCGGAGGTACACTGAGCCAAAAGGTACACTGGGCCAAAGCAGTAGGTACAGTGAGCCAAGCAGTTTAGGTACACTGAGCCAAGCAGTTTGGAGGTACACTGAGCCAAGCAGTTCGGAGGTACACTGAGCCAAGCAGTTTGGAGGTACACTGAGCCAAGCAGTTCGGAGGTACACTGAGCCAAGCAGTTTGGAGGTACACTGAGCCAAGCAGTTCGGAGGTACACTGAGCCAAGCAGTTTGGAGGTACACTGAGCCAAGCAGTTCGGAGGTACACTGAGCCAAGCAGTTTACACTGGAGGTACACTGAGCCAAGCAGTTCGGAGGTACACTGAGCCAAGCAGTTCGGAGGTACACTGAGCCAAGCAGTTTGGAGGTACACTGAGCCAAACAGTTTGGAGGTACACTGAGCCAAGCAGTTTGGAGGTACACTGAGCCAAGCAGTTCGGAGGTACACTGAGCCAAACAGTTCGTAGGTACACTGAGCCAAGCAGTTCGGAGGTACACTGAGCCAAGCAGTTCGGAGGTACACTGAGCCAAGCAGTTTGGAGGTACACTGAGCCAAACAGTTTGGAGGTACACTGAGCCAAGCAGTTCGGAGGTACACTGATCCAGGCAGTTCGGAGGTACACTGAGCCAAACAGTTCGGAGGTACACTGAGCCAAGCAGTTCGTAGGTACACTGAGCCAAACAGTTCGTAGGTACACTGATCCAGGCAGTTCGGAGGTACACTGAGCCAAACAGTTCGGAGGTACACTGAGCCAAGCAGTTCGTAGGTACACTGAGCCAAACAGTTCGTAGGTACACTGAGCCAAGCAGTTCGGAGGTACACTGATCCAGGCAGTTCGTAGGTACACTGAACACATTACAAACAGCGTATCAGTCCCTTAAGCATTTTGTTATTGTTCTTATGACTGGTGAGTTGACGCGCGTGTTACTATT